ATAAGAGAACCACCAGTGGCGGCATAAATGATAGACCTAAGAGATCCTACTAACCTGTTGTAAAAAGTCCAAATTATCAACCAATTGGGAAGTGCATGATGGGGGCACAACTTAAAAAGTTCCTCAAATCGTTCCCAAGCATCATATATCGACTCACCTTCATATAACAACATGAAGTGATATTATTTCTTAGTTTAGCCATTATTGAAGGTGGAAAATATTTAGCTAGGAATATTTGGGCTAATTCACTCCACATCCTAATTGATCTAGCTGTTAATGAGTTTAACCACATTGTGGATTTTTCCCTCAAGGGGAAAGAAAAAAGACTTAACCTAACAGCGTCGTTGAAAACACCATTATAGCGAAACGTGGCTTAAAGTTTGAAGAAACTCGCTAAATATATGTTTGGAACTTTAGATGGTGTTCCTAAAAAATGATTGCTTTTCACCACTTGGATGATACCAAGCTTTAGTTGGAATGCCCTAGCTTCTACTGTAGGGGTTCAAATACTTAAATGAATTTTATCTGTCATAGGATTAACATAGTTTCTCAAAGGTCTATGTGCATTGGGATGTTCATGGGTTGGTTCCTAAATCTCTGGGTTGTTCGCCATCTCAATTATGAGTTGTTCAATTCTCTTTTATTTTTTGATTTTCCTAATAGTACTATCTAGCTTAGAGTCATAAGGTTCAAGTTCTGTAGGTCCTAAACTACGTATTTATGAACTAGAGATCCTTAATCCTAAAATTTCACACACAAAAACAAAAATATTTTTGGTTTTCCTTTGTTTTTCAAAAACAGTAAAAATAATTGAACGCAAACAGTTAACACTGCATGTTTACAAGGCTAAGACCTCGAAGTTCAACTAAAATTTTCCTTAAGTCAAATCACTTTCGCATCCCGGAAATGATGCTAAAAATTGACACCACTTTCAAGTGCTATAGCACACTAGAAGCTCACGCAAGTGCATGTGTCATATCAGTAATATCAACTTTTAGAGTATGGAATGTGATCCCATAGGAAGCGAGGTGATCTTTGTTAGGAAAAGTTGTAGCCTGCTAGTTTTAGTCTTAGCCTGAAAGTTTGGTTTTTGCTAAAGTCTGAAAAGCTAACCTACTGAGTTATAGAAAACATCAAATTTAAATCCAACACAAGTAATTCCTAATTTTAGCAATTTAAATTGAAAGATATAAAATACTTAAGAGGTTCTTCCTTATAATGAGTTAATTGAATGACATGCAATGTAAATTTGCATGCAGTAAAAGACTAGTGACAAATAGAAGCAACAATCTTCTTTACCCTCTACCAGGTGCATAAAAAAGGTTGGATAGAAATGACTTTAATTCCTTAAATCCCATAGCTATCCCTTGAAAGCATATTTTTGTAACATTTGCATCTCCCTATAACGCATATCAACTTATACCTCATAATTTAATGGGATTACAACATATTTTAACAATTCACTTGGACAGAATGAAAAACAAATTAAGTTCTTAAGGTAAATATCACCATTTGAAAATAAAGAAATTATGTACCACTTCACATTCCATTCATCCTATCTAATCATCACAAGAAAGAGTTAATGGTTTACCTAAGAAGCGTGTTGATTTTACCAAATAAATGCATTGAACAAAAGAGAAATCCACTGATACTTAGTTACAACGAAAATACACAAACAAATACACTATTTCTCCTTTACAATGATCAAACTCCAATAAACACTCCTCTTGATTCTCTAAATTTTGCTAGAAGAACACCACTCCCTCAATACTTAGAAGAAGAATTATGGATCTCCAAAGCACGAAAAAACCCTAAGTAACTAACCAACATCAATCCCCCACTTATAACTCCCAAGAGCATCAATCCTGTCAAGCCTACATTCCTCTGCTATATATAGACACTTTACAATAGCTTCCATAACTCCCCATCATCCCTACACAATCCCCCACACATTCCCTCACGTATGGGATCAAAGATTACAATAGTTGCATAAGGCAGTTGCGGCGACTAGGCGTCAGGCTCTCGGTTTGTTGTGAAATGAATGGGCACCTAAGCACACAAGGGTTAGGCACCTAGGGGCTAGTATCATGGCGCCTAGGTGCCCAATGGTTGGCATCTAAGCACCAACCTCTGGGGTTGGTGAGGCAGAGACTGGGGTCTAGGCGCACAAGCGTCTGGCGCCTAGGCGCCAATGCCACTTTGCACCATTCAGCTCCAAGTCCTCTCCTGGTTTCACCACTTCAATTACCTATTATACCTGTAAGGAAAAAACAAAATATATTTCTTAAAGTGCAATATCATCAATAGAGATATAAAAAAACAATCTTAAATTCTTGTTAACGTTTTCTTGCATCATTGAGCAGAGGCATCGATCTATCTCTTGTCATGATTTGAATCATGGGAAGAATCTAGCATCACAACCTATCTCATAGGTGCCCTTGAGATTCCTCATTTGAGGCTGAGAACTAGCCATAACATAGCCAGACAGAGCATCCCCAAACAATCACCTTGTTGAAGATCAAGCTATATGTCAGATTACAGTGATTCACCCTCTGTTTTATAGCCTAGCCTTGCCTTGCCAACAAGAGTTCCTTATCCAATGATCAATAATTAGTAACCACACTCACGTAGCCTACAGACGAAAAATAATCAATCGAGTCAAGTCTTGTCGACTTGAACATCATCCAAGGCGAACTGAAAATTGTGATTCAGCATGGTCGAATAAGCAGGTCTGGTCGAGCCAGGACCAATTGATTTGAACTGACTGAGCCATAGGGTAGCCGAACCAAAGACATATACATGTAAAATACCTAAAACATCTCATCATGCCCCCACTAAAGCAAGGGTAGACATGTAATTTTATTTATTATATCCTTTATCTATAAATAGATGGATCATTTCTTAAGAAATGACTAACTAGAAATTCATATTATTGTTCATTACTGTTCATTTCCCTCTCTGCTTCTATTTCTTTCGTCTTACGCTCTATTCCTAGATTGTAATTCACTGACAAATCATGATTCAACCCATTAAGATTTTATAGATTTAAAATAATAAATGACTCGATTATAAGTGATCTGATTTTCTTATCTCACTCTTTTACTCCATCTCCATTCATTATGCAACTACTGAGTTTCGTGTATGTTTATATATGTACATATGAAGAAATTTGCAGCTATATAATGAGCATTTTTTTAGAATTACATTAGTATCTGAACATAGAGACAAAGGAAGCTCATAAAAGGCAAATTTTTTACATGAAAAATTAAAAAACATTAAATTATAACATATGAAGGAGTTGAAATTTACCAATTTGCATGTAAATATTTTAGAATTCTACTCTTCAACCAACCTAAGGAATGCACTGAAAGAGGAGTGAAAAGGCTAAATAAATATAGTTGAGGCATCATGAATGTAAGCATTAGTTAGCTTAATGTGGCCGGAAGATGACGTTCAATGCTGTTCGTTGATAGCTACCAATGGCAATCAACAACTGGATGTCTATGCCAAATCTTAGAAGATGATGATGGTAAGGAGACTAGTACCCACAGTTGGATAAAAGTGTTCGAGTGTTTGCCACTAGGCAAAAATAATTAGGTGAAAAGATCAAGCATCAATAATCCTAGTCATCAGCTCGATTGAATTCTTCAAACATGTGAGCTTTCTATAGCATAGATCATTTTTATATAAAAAAACGAGTATATTTATATATTTTTGAAGTAATATTTTGATTATATAAATCAAAATTCTTAAACACTCCATCAAACAAATTGTATTAAATCTATTAATTATATAAAATTCTTTGTGTTTTTTTCCTTGATGATATTAGAATTAACTAACATTTAACTTGCTAAATTGAACTCATTGATATGCTTGTTTTATTAAAAGCATGTAATTTTGTAATGTGATTTGATTTCTCTAAAGTATCGGGAAATTTTCAACTATACTTTTGTATACATAATTTAGATACATATAAAATCAGATCAAAGTACTTTTTGTGTGATTGGATCCATCTCATTTAAAGATTCACTGCAATTTTAAGTGCTAAGACACAATTTTAAGTGGGGAAACACAATTTTGGATAACCCTGGATACTAACTTTAAGATCTATACTGGATGATGAGAATTTCCGAATGGCACTAGGTTCTCATAGATTCTTAAACACAAGAAATTACCTCAAAAAAAGATACTCTCATATAATTATGCATTGTTTTAAGGATATTAAGATATATGCCACAAAACTACTTTATAATCAATCTTCAAATCGACATATATAACTTAATTTCTTCCAAGATCATTGACCTTTTGAAGTTGAAATTTCAAGAACATGTCATTTATAATTTCAAGCATATTCCATTAAATTATAGGGCATTTACATAAATACCAAATGATTCTTTTGTATTTACATATCTAACCTCTACATTTTCATATTTACATGCATGACCCTTAAATCCTTAATATCAAATAAGAAAATCACTATCACTTTACTTTTTAAAAGAGGATATTACATTTTCATGCATAGGTTTACAACAGAAAATAAATATAAAAATATAAAACTTTAGGCATCAGATATGTAAATACATAAAAATTCTGTGGCATATATATAAATTTCCCAAAGTTAAACTATCCACAAGTAAACACCTTATTTGTTTGATTAAAATTAGCAGAGTCAATTTGCAAGAACAAGATTCCAACTATATCAATTATGTAATAATGAAACAAAACCATAGCCTCACATGAATCTAAAAGAAAAAAACATCACAAGTCCAAAATAAATGAGCAAATTAAAAGTCATCTATAATAATTTATACTTCAAAACATACTTAAATTTATTATTTCTCCTACAACAAAAATAAGATGTTTATAGTTGGTCATTCCCTCCTAACATAAGTTTATTTTCCAATAGAATATATTTGATGAGATTTATACATATTGTTCAAGTTGAAAGTGCTGTTTTAGTTGGTCCAAACCTCTTACGGATACCAACTCGACGGCGCCAAGCGTCGAGGAGACAGTCTGGGAGCAAAGCTAAGAGTCCCCATTGGATGGCATGGGACCAGTAAGGAGTACAGAGCGGCTCATAGCCTATGCAGCGAACAGAAGCCTTGGCAAATTTTTCTGGTGATGGAATGAAGGTGGATGGCTGTTCGATGGAAACCATCTTTGTTGCCACGTAGAAGGGGATCTGCGCCAAATATTCAATGCAAAAAAGATTTCTATTTTATTTTATTTTTCTTTCTGGCATTGATGTATCTGGAAAAACACAAGGAAAGGAAAAAAAAAAATACATGGATTGTTCACGCTTTTTAAGAATTTCATTTGAGAATAAAAATTCACAGCAAAATGTGCTCACGTTTTTCACTTTTTCTTTCTGGCATTGATGTATCTGGAAAAACACCAAAAAAGGCAAAAAATACAGGGATTGTTCACGCTTTTTAAGAATTGCATTTGAGAATGAAAATTCACAGCAAAATGTGCTCACGTTTTTCACTTTTTATCAAACAATGTAATTGCAGCATGTGCAATAGTATGGATGGTCAAATATGAATGAAAGATGCTAAATGGATTCAATTATGAACGGTGTTTTTTTTCTTTTAATGTGGGCAATGATACACTCAATTCATTTTAGATTCTATCAATTTTGTAGAGATTTATCGAAAAATGGCAAGCAATGTACATATAATTGTCCAACTACTCAATAAATTAGGACACCATTGTCACATCCCGATCCGGTGATCTTTTAATGTGGGCAATGATACACTCAATTCATTTGAGATTCTATCAATTTTGTAGAGAGTTATAGAAAAATGGCAAGCAATGTATATATAATTGTCCAACTACTCAATAAATGAGGACACCATTGTCACATCCCGATCCGGTGATTGGAATTAACCAAGACAAGAATGAACAGTCGGACGGTCAAACGGTGAAAATCAATTCTCAGCTATTCAATTTCTATTACATTCAAAAAATAATTTATGAAAAAACTTCTAAAGAAAACAATTAAATTAGCAAGTAAAAATTTGTATCTTTCTGATTGTAGTTCTCACCTCATATAGGGAATTGTTCCTCTTCTTTTCATCTTGTTCAAAAGCTTAAAACCTAAAAAAATTATTTAAACAACATAATGAGTTATCTAAAGATAACTCAAGAGCAATCACATTTCTAAACAACAACTCAAAGAAAAGAAATCAATATGCATCTTGGTCATTCAAATCTCTATAAGAAATCCTATAATATGTTAATCTTACATATTTTTATAAGAAATCTCACATATGCTAATGCATATATCAAAGACCTTTTTTAAGTGAAAATACTAAAATCTTCAATATGTATTTAACTTTACTTTTACTTTGCACTTTTTACATATATCCTTCTCATTGAAGATCACCGTTAACAAAACCTAATGCACCCCTAGCCAATATTATCTCATCGACATAATAGTTAGCAATAGAAATATCACAATTATATGAATGAAAAGGCCCTTGCCTGCCTCTGACCTATATTATCCCGTCGACATAACGTTTAGCAATGTAAACATCACACTTGTTTAGGAGGGAAATCTTTGGTCTACTCACCCCTGGTCGATATTATATCATCAGCATAACAGTTAGTGATCTAATCATCGCAAGTATGTGAGGTGGTAGAAAAATACCTACTTGTGCGGGTACACTGGTGTCACCTACCTGTACCATTAAAGGGTGAACTCCTCCTCTGAACATACACATACAAACATTCATAAGTAAGTTATTTTATTATTTCATATCATGTATTCTTTTCTAATGAAACACTTTATCTCTATCTATTGATAAAAAATGCAAACTTACTATATCTATAAGTCATGAAATCATCTAAAACTTGTATATTTACTAAAATTCTAGATGTTAAACAATAATGTGACACATATGTGTTCATATGATAAGCTAATAGATATATCTATATATGTATATAAACTAAAGTCATTAGTAAAATACTAGTGAAGAGGTTACAACCACACCGTCCCTATATTATTTCTCCACAATAATTTGCTTTTATTAAAAGAAGGGAAATCTCTGATAATATCTTACTAGCTCATGAATAAATTGAGAAATTGGATAAAAAAGTGGTGGGGGGGACATCCAAAAAGCCTATGATACAATAAATTGGGATTTTAATTAACATTCTGAAGGCCAAAGGCTTCAATAATAGCTTCTGTTTACTTATAAGGAGATTGTAAGAATGGAATCTTTATAGTATCCTTATTAGTGGGTCTTCATTTGGTTTCTTTTCTGCAAAAAAGGGCATAAAGCAAAGGGACCCTCTCTCCCTTACCATTCTTAGTTTGGCTTTTGATTGTTTTTCCAGAACATTGAATAAGGTGCAACCACTCCACTCAAAACCTGTATCATACTTAGTAAGCATGTGAAAAAAGAGTTGGTTGTTTGGATAGCTAGTTACACTGGGTGGAAAATTTCTGTTCTCCCACTCAAATACCTTGGTGTTGATTTTAAGGGGAAGAAAGAGGCAGTCCCAAATGGACTCTGTGGTGAAGAAAGTCGAAAACAAAATTATTGATTGGAGAAATACATTTCTTTCTTTTGGAGGAAGATTGCCTCTTTATGCTCTGCAGGTCCTCAAACTTAAGGCTAGCACTCAAGATTCCTTGGAAAAATGTTTTAACAAGTTTCTTTGGGCAGGAAGCTCTTCAAACAAAATTTGTTCCAGCTGAAAAAAGGTTTGTAAACCTTTGGATGCAGGTGATTTAGGGCTTAAAGAACTTCATCACATAGCTAAAATTAATTTCATCAAACTTTGGTTCAAATTTGGAAGAGGTGTTTTTTTGTGGTCCAGATTCCTATTTCAAAAATACTACTCTTCTTCCCATCCTTCTAATGTGACTCGGAAGCTTGGAGATTCTAAAACATGGAAAGCTTTGTTAAAAGCTAGAGTCTCCGCCTCTAAATATGTTTATTGGGATAATGGAAAAGGAAAAATCTTATTTTGGAAGGATCGATGAACTGATTTTGAATTTAATGGCTTGGCCGATTGGGAAGCTTATGAAAAGGCTTTGGTTCCTGATTTTTGGAATGAGGGAAAATAGAATGTTCAGCTTCTCAAAGAGTTGGTGGGTTCTGATGCTGATGTTATATCCAAAATCCCAAAAAAAATGGATAAAGAGGACTCTTTTCTTCTTACACTCCCAAAAAATATATCTATTTCTAAATCTCTTTATGCTGAGCTGTATCAGTTTGACAATTTGGATTGAGGGTCTAAAATATGGGGTAAAGCTTTGACTACTTCTATGGATTTCCTTGTTTGGAGGCATTTTCATTGGATCCTTCCTTATGATGATATACTTAAATTAAAAGGGCTTAGAACTGCTTCATAATATAGCCTTTGTAAAATGGATGAGGAATCAGCTCATCATATATATTTTCAATGTTCTTTCTCCATGCAAATTTGGAATTTTTTTGGTGATTATTTTCACAGGTGCATTATCAAAATAAGGCTTGAAAATTGTATTCATCATATCCATAAATAAAATTGGGGCATTAGTGAGCTAAAAAACATAACTAATAATTAATAATGTTCATACCTAATATCAAATGTTATTTGCTTGGGATCACTTTTTTAGACTGACTTGATGATGCAAAGATCTTAAATCAATTCTTAAAATACATAAGCTGCATCTAATTTATCAAATAAATCATTATCGTAGACACATGTTAACAATCACCTTATTTAACTCCATGTAATCAATGCACAACCTCATTGAACCATCTTTATTATTAACAAGCAAAACAGGTGCACTCCATGAGGATATACCCGCTCAAATTTAGCTCTAATGATTGACTTTTTAATTCTTATACTTCTTTAGTGGTCATTCTGTAAGGTGTTTTCATAATAAATATAATTCCAGAATAAACACCAATTATAAACTTCTCCTCTCTCTCTCTCTCTCTAGTGGCAAACTAGCCAAGTCCTCGAAAAGAATATCAATAAACTCATTTACTACGAGAATAGCGTATGTTTTACTAATTGCATATTTGACAACTTTTAATTTGACCAAAAATAGCAATTCGCCAACTCTTTTTTTTTATTCAGTTTAATTGAACTAATTAGAAATGATATTACTCTGTTCTCACATTATAAGCAATAAGCAAATCAAATCTCATTTTTTTCTTCAAACAGTCAATAGTGGCACAATATTTTACCAACTATTTCATGCCCAAAATCATTTCAAATTCAATTAAAGTTAACACAATCACATCAGATTCAAAAATTCTGCAAGCCATCACATGATCAACGGAATAAAAATAGCTACCATAGAATCACTAGAAGGCAACATAATGCTCACACCGTAAGAAAAGCAAATAAGTTCCAAATGTAATTTATCACAAAATAGCTTAGATATAAATGAGTGTAATGCACACGAATCAAAAAGAATCCTAGCAAAAAATATCCAAAATATTGTCATACATGTCACCACTTCTGAGGATTTTCTACCCTCCAGAGATATTCAGGAAAAACTTATATCGGTCTTGATCCTCACATTTCTTCCAGATATTTCTCATTTATTTTTTTTCTGTTGGCTTATTCATTACAACCTTTATCCCTCTATAATAAATTGTATTTTAAATAATTGTAGTTTTCTGCCTCGTTGGATATTCTTAGAAAAATATCCATCAATATGGCTCAACTCACCAACTCACCATGTTGATAACATCTTTCAAAATTTTAGAAAAATATCCATCAATATGGCTCAACTCACCATGTTGATAACATCTTTCAAAATATAGCAAAAATTTCCCTAAATGTGGCTTTCTACATGTGGCATAAGCCGGCATTAAATGTGACGTCCTTGCTATTGTTGTTGCTGTTATTGCCTCTAAATAAACTTTTTATTTTTAAATTTGCAACTTTTAATATTTAACAATCTCTTCTTATGACAATCTTCTTTTTTTATCTCATAATCTTCATCACTTTCTACTAACTCAACAAAATATTTGAAAGATATAGAATTAATGGTTGTCTCAATTGATCTCTCATCACTCCCAAAAATTTATAACACTTTTCACTAGGAGTAAATTACGGAGCATATCAATATAATAATATAAATGGTAAATGATGCCTCATATTGAATCATAGTCTTTAATCCTTGAGTCAAATTTATAAAAAAATTCCTGCATTGCTTGTCTCACAGGTAAGACAACCTAATCTCTAAACACTTGTCCAAAATCATCCTTAATAATTTGCTCCCCAGGTCTACCTTCAAACTTCTCTAGTTATTGGCCACTCCACTTGCACTCTGCCTCACTTTCAAGTACAAATAAAACTTATCTATAATTAGAGCATTTCAAACCCTTTAAAATCTTCTTACGTTTAACAATTGAATCATCAACAACTCTAGCAACTGCTCCATTTTAAATAGAGGATGCGTCACAATTTTAAATGACTTCAAGTATTTATTTATTTGTACACTGATGTTAGTACTAACATAGGTATTAGAACTACATGTGTGGTTGGTTCAACAATTGATGGTATAATAGATGATGTAAGTACTACAAAATGCTTCCTCTTTCCCATTATCTACATTACTGCTTTCATCATCTGCAGTTACATTATACTGTTTAACGCCATATCAATAGGATTTGGTGCTACTAGCATATTCTCTACTCTAAGAGTATTGTTTTCATCTAGTGCAACATTTTTAAAAATTTTAATTACTCTATCTAGTTGTGCTAATTGACCATTAATTGCTTTAAGCATTCTGTCAACAATAATATATTAAATTTATTATAAACAATACTCATAAATTCACATGCTCATATCAATGCACATTATATTAAATAAAACATATAATGCACGGTTTTCGGTTGACTCGTCACTAACTTAGAAAATCTGGAATCACCTATGCTCTATAGTAATCATATCATATTAATTTTTTTCTTACAAAATCTGGAATCACCTATGCTCTATAGTAATCATATATTTTTCTTACTTTTCTTACAATCATGCTTTCTTAATTAATCATCATTATTTAATTGCTTTGATGCCACTTTTTATTACACCTTACGGCAGCCCCTCCCCCAAAGAACAAGAGATGCAACAGAGGAGTCTAA